ATTTTATTGAGCAGTTTTGTTTATTTATTTATTGAATAGCCACTATGCTGCTGTCTGCTTTTTCCCATTCTTGTAAAGCACACGAAAACGCTTCACATTTCAGTATCCAAATGTTTTGTTTTCAGTATCTGTGTTGGACTCTAAAAAAGAATCTCACAGATATTTCCATTCTTGATGAAAATGTGAGTCAATTTAAACTGAAAGTAAGATACCCTTTTGTATTATTCATGTATTTGTGGCAGTACTGTTAGTGCACAAATATTTTTTTCATGGAAGAGTTGTATAAGTACCTCAATAACTGTGAAACCAACAATCCCAAACTCTTTGTAACATAAAATGCATTTTAACTTTGGGTAAATTCATGAAATATTAATATTCAAAAGGAGTCAGTTGAAGATGAGATTTTCACGAGTGAGAAAGTCCCGTTAGCTTATGCCATGATTACATCTTGGGTAATAGTGCCATCTGCTGTTCTCAGTGTGGTGTTGCTGCCAGTTTAGAGATCTGTTTATGTTTATAAATGATGTACAGATTAAAATTCTGTCTTTTCAACTAAAAGGTTTATATTGGAGTTTGTCTTCTTTACAACTTTAAATTTGTGTACCATTTGATAATATCTTAAAAGAAAGTTCTATAAATGTTGTATCATGTGAAATTGATTATCAAACATATAATGTGAAGTAGCAGATGAGCCTAATTTTCATATTTTAACATCAGCAGTAACTAATAAAACATTTGATTTTAACTTCCCATCACAAAAGTAGCAAAGTGATTTTCCATGCCCTGAGTTAGTATCGGCTGTCTCAGTCTGTCCTGACTTGCCTTTCTGACGCCGTTATTTTTTATTTCACTGCCTCCAAGTGTCTCCCTTCTACAGCGCCCTACAACCCTGTGCAAGTCATTTCACCGACCAGTGGTGTGTTTACCGAGTGCTAGTAGATACTTCTTTGTGTTTACCACATTAATATTTTAAGTCTCATCATTTTAATTCTCCAAGTAACTTTGTCAGTTATATTTTTACCTCACGTTGGATGAATTCAAGGTACTTTATATGCTAGGCATTCATGCCAAGTATGTAAACAATGGCTAGTTTTCATTCACATTTTTCTCAGTCTTAAAATCGGTACAGAATTTTTAAATGACAAAGTGGCATGAGTAACTTAACCTGAGTTTAAAACAATTGAATATGTATTACTAATCTGCTTTGTTGTGCGTCCCAAAAGGACAGGGTTATACTCAAGACATGCACTTGAGGGCGCTGATGTTAGAGTTTGCGTGTGGAGCAGTGCGAGGCCAATAGATACCTGTCGTTGCCAGACAGAGCGTTATGAGGCTGAAGTTGCGAATCTCCCAGGGATCTCTCAAATTTTAATTTAAAGATCACTTTTACTCTTTAATTTAAATATTATGCTCCTTAATTCAAATATCACCAGTAAAACGGTTCCCACGTTGAAAGGTAAAAGCTCTGCTGGTTGATTGTCAGATTCTAGGTCAGGCAACCCGGCTGTCCCCATCTGCCCTGTCTCTTTGTAGGGTGATTGGTAACAAGGCCCAGAGACAGTGTTCTGTTTTTCTCTAATCTTCCTTTCTTTATAATTCTCGAGTGCTATTTTGTGAAGCATACTAGTGGCTGTATGTCCATATTTAAAGTTCTGAACACTATAAGCTTTATACATCAAGTATGGCTTGTGAGCTCACCTCTGACATTTAATACTAATGACGTGCTTTTTAAATCCAAATGAGAGAATATGTTAAAAAAAAATTCCAAAGGCTAAACAGTTGATAATAGATGGGGCATCATTCTGAAATCAGAAATATTTGACTGTTGTTTGTGAAATAAGAGTGAGCTAATTAGGGCATGTACAAACAAATTTTCATATTGATAAATTAAAGTCGGACCATGTGGTATAGTACACAGTATAATTTTCCTCTGCTATATTAACACTAATAAAAATATTATCTACTGGTATGAGATATGTTAATATTAAAAATTAGCTGGGTAAAGAATCTCCTCTTATTTCACATGCTCCATTGGTACACTGCATAACTAAAATGCACAGGAGCTTTTATTCTGCAGCACGTGGAACTATTAGCTCTTCCATGACACTGTCCCAGTGCTCGCTTCTAAGTAGGAAAATACCTTCTTCCGAAGATGGGAGTGCTGGCTCTGGCGGCTCTTACTTCCAGCCATTCCGTGTGTGATTTCTCACGGGAGAGAAGGCTCGTTACAGCCGCCAGGGATGCACCTTAGGGGGCACTGTCTTTCTCTTAAGTTAACTGGAGCTTGCACAAGACTACAGTCATAACTTGTGATTGGCCATAAGTCGAGAAAAATATGTTTATAAAATGTTCATTTTTAGTGAAGTAATAAAATCAAATTTTTTTATATTTTCTAGAACATTTAACCTCTTCAGCTTATATCTGCTGGCATGTAAATATTACTTTGATGCAAATAATTTCACCTTCTAGTTACCGGTTATTACAGTTGTTTCTTAGAAACTAAATCCAGCTGTTAACCAGAGTCTAAAATCCCAACATTCTTGGATGACTTAGCTGAGTGTACGGTAGCTCCTAATTTCGCTTTTTATTCGTATTAGCTTAGAAGAAGGGTTTAAACAGCAAGAGTGTGAACCACAATGTTGCAGTTTCAGGCCCAGCTACTATGTGAAAAAATATATATATATGAAATGGCAAATGCATGTGGCTATTTATTAAAGCATTAATTGTAAATGCAAAAGACTAGAAACTATTCAAATGGCCATCAGTTGGGCATTGGTGGAGAAAACTATCATAAACTCTGAGATTGCTACAGCCCTGAAATAGAATGAGAAGTCTCCGTATTGCTATGGAGTGATAGTGAAGACATATTGTTAAGTGAAAGAATATACATAGGGATGTGTTATATGCTGTTTTGTGTAAGAAAGAAGAGACTGTGTATATACAGTTCTATTTTCAGAAATAAACAATGGGAGTATAAAACCCAAAACTTAATAAAAATGATTACCTGTGGCTTGGGGAGAGAACTAGGAGAGCAGGAATGGAAAGAAAATCTACACCTCTCTGATGTTGTTTTAAGTTTTTACTCTAGAACCATGCATTTTATACAATTTTAAAAAATGAGATATTAATTGCAAAATCAATAAAGCAAGACCTAAAAGTTAAAAATGAACTGAAACAATGACTCACTACAAAACAAGTGTTGAAAGCTATTTTTGCTTTTTGCCTTTTTCCATAAAAATGAAAATCCTCTTCAGATTATTCAGTTGACAAAAGCATGTACTAAGGTAGGTCTTTTGTAAAAGTGAAGTGGTGTAATGGGAACTTTGGAAAAGCAGGGGAATACATGTGTGTTCTGTCCCACTCGCTGAAGAGGCTGAGAAACAATGACAATCCAGCAACAATGCGCAGCCCTACTGCCCAGGTTATTGTCTCTAAAACCATTCCTCACTAAAAGGAGGCCAAGCTCTTTAGAGAAATGGCTACTTTCAAGTCTGGGGCAGGAACTATTGGATGAGCCTGGAACATCTTACCACATCTTAACTACTAGGGATCACATCAAAAGGATGCAGGAACCAACTTGAAGATGTTTCCACCACCCAAAGATAGGATAATTGGAGCATCAAACTATGAAAATGACTACCATGGACTGAAATACATTAACTATATAAATATTTATTAATTCATATTGGTCATCTTGGGGCCAAAACTGGTAGAGGGAATGAATTAAACGTATATTCTTTCTTCTGTATAGACTATGTTTTACAGTCCTCGAGTAGTCAATGAGGGAAGTTCTTCATTATAGAGGAATCAGAGCTAATAAATGTGGGAAGAATAATAGAAAATCACCACTTTGCAACCTCTAATGAAATGATAGATCTAAGCAACAAATTAGTGTCTGCTGAAACATTTAAGTAAGAGATGGGTGGAGAACTTCACAATAGAAGAGGCAGACTGATGTTGCTTTGGACCCACGCAAGCTCAACCTCACTGTAAGTGGGAGCAGCGCACCCTGCTGTAATGCAATAGGAATTACACAGCGGCGCCTGTGATGTATTCTGATCAAAGAAATTGAAACTGAATCTTATCAAGCCTCTAGACCTAACTACTGGCTTATACAAACCGTGAGGGGTAGAGGAATGTGTTAAGTGACACCATGAGAATGAAAATAAGCAAATTCCAGAAGGTGCAACTTTTTAAAGAATAAATGATCCAATTTCATCAATAAATAAATGGCAATGAAAGGAAGTACAGTGGACTGGAGGTGATGAAAAGGGATTTGAGATATTTGTTAACCAAGTGCAACATGTAGGCCTTGTTTAGATCCTGTTTGAAGCAAACCAACTGTATATAGAAGTGTTTTGACAATCAGTGCAAATAAAACACAATCTGCATAAGGTGATATTAAGAGAATTGTTGGCAATGCTGGATGTGAGAATGGTATTTTCATTATGTTGGTAGTTTTTTCTTAAGCCCTATCTGAGATGTCTTTCGAAATATGTAGGGATAAACGTGGTATGATATCTGGAATTTACTTTTAAATACTACAGGCCTACCCCCAAAAAACCAAAATGGGGATGGACAGATTGATTAAGAATGACAGAAAGTTAACGGCTGTAGAGCTGGATGATGACTGCAGGCGGATTTATTGTGCTTGTACGTGTATGTTCAAAATCAGGGGCCGGGGCATGCTTGTTGGGTTTTTTCAAAGTTCTCCTGCTAGATTAGCCCAGATCAGCTGAGATCATTGGAGCAGTGCCTTGTCGGCAGTGCTGTGGGTTTCAGGTGGGAGTCTTAGTGTGCAGGGACGTTGTATTTGCAGATCTTAAGGGAAGGAGAGTTTCTTGCTGTAGCTTAACCATAACTGTAGCTTTTCATCCAGTTATATTTGTCTTTTCATGCAGTTAAATTTTGTAAGGCAAAAATCACTTCATAGAAAGAAAGAACACCGCTTGGGCATAGTGGCGTTAACAAGCTCACACTGACATTGTACATTTTTTTAGACCAACCCACCCTGGTAGAACAAGTAAAAAGAGTAAAAGAAATCGAAGCCATTGAAAGTGATTCTTTTGTTCAGCAGACATTCAGATCAAGTAAAGAAGTCAAAAAGGTAAGTTTTCATCCAGGCATTATGAATAAACCTTTAGATTCCAACTGAAGAGATGTTTTATTAATGGATTTCACTTAAATGTAAGTGCTTCTTCTAATAGATAGATGAAGTAGGGTGAGAGCATGTCAGCATGTTATTGAGAGAGAGAGCGAATGAACCAGTGAGAATCAGTTTAAGTTTAACTTGTCAAAAATGTACTGTAGAAATGTATCCGGATGCCATTTTTGTTTTAAAATTCACTGCAGAGACAAAACGTCGGCCCAGCAGTCCTGTAGCAGTAACACGCATTTCATGGACACACATGCATGGTTTCCTCTTCAGGTGCACATGCCTGCTTTTTGAATTGACGTTGGTAGAGGAAAATTAGAAAAGGGCTTTAACAATAAAATTATAATCCAAATAGTGTCATAACATGTATCTCCACTCTGGCCCAGGTGGGCGTCGCTTACTCTAGTAAAGGGGGCTTTCACTGGCATTTTTTTTTCTGTTGAATATTTTGTTTATTCTTTCAGTCATCATGAGGACTGCTTTCTTTTTCCTTTGGTAGGAAAATGCATTCTACATGAAAGACATGTAGTTCTTAGTAACATACATATAACAAAGACAGAGAATTACAAATTATTCAAAAATATTTTAGGTCTAGGTCTACAAATCATAGAAAATAATAAAATCCATTGGAAAGCCCAGAATTAGCTAGTTTTAGGTTGGATAAGTATGACACAGAAGCAAAAACTGCCTAGAAACATGATTAATTCAGCACTGAGATGAGCCAGTTATAAATGTATTTAGTTAAAATATTTTACCAGCATTTTTGTTACTTTTTTGTAAAATCACAACTGAATTACAGAAACCTAGGGTTTAGCGATGGGGAAGCAGTGATCAAAAGCATGAAATGTAGAGTCAGACACACGTGGAACCATTCTGATTCCACCATTTACTGGCTGTGAATCCTTAAACTACGTAACTTCATTAAACGTTGGTTTTTCTTAGTCACTGCATTTCACAGTGATCAGAAGAGCAGTGATGGGCCAACAATGAGTAAATTCACACTCCACTGTAATATAAAACAGGGAGCCAATTTATTAGTTTAGAAAGTGATATCCTTTTTCAGTTTCTAAAATATCTGTGTCTACAGTATAAGGTAGGAATTCAGAACGCCCAAGAAGCTGAATTATTTATTAGGAGATTACTTAGCACAGGGAAGTAAATTATCTTGTTTCATCCAGATCATGGGGAGACAGGATGGGCTATCCCTGACACATAGCAGAGACTCTCATAGGACTAAGTTACCCATGACCCAGATTTCAACATCCTTCTCTCCTAGAGAGTTCTGCATTCATGGGTACAGTGTGTATCTCTGCTAAAGGCTTTTCTATACTAGCCACCCCCTCAGGTGGTAGAGTCTTTATCTGTGTCAATTCCACTAATTAAGCTAGGGAGCTGTTACCAGAAAAGTAGCTATTACTAATGACATGCTAGACATTGTGTCGTGTGTGACACACATCGAAGTAACTAGAGTCACCCTCTGCAATCATACTTCTCTTGTAAGTAGATGATCGGATAGCTCCTGCTGCAGCATCAACTGCAAGAACCAAGATGCAGCCGGTTTTCAAACTGCTGTCCCTAATAAGCTTATTTCCAGTTATTCAGCCCTAAAATTGTTATATCTGGCAGATATCCACTTATGTTTAAAAAGATGGCAATTTGTTCTTTAACTTGGAAATACAATTTCAAAATAGTTTTTTCTAAACTGAACCACCAGGTGGCTGTACTACCCAAAGACAGATGCGTGATAGTGACCGTTCTGAAGGGGCTTTAACAGTTAGGTTTTCGCTAACAGTTCTCCTCACTTAAAGAAGCAGTTAGTGATTCTCCTCACACATTTTAAATTACATATTATTGAATAACTTCCATTGAATAACGTCCACACTCTGATCCAGACCTCTGAGAACTACACTTATGTGTGCGTAAGGACTTCTCAAAGAAGTAGGGACTGTGTAGGTAAAAATATAATGAGATTGCTTGATTTTTGTAATAAAATGTTATCCCTGACATACATTTGGCAACTAGAATAACAGCAGTCCACAATTGTTCAAGGCAGTTGTACACAGACAACCAATCTTCTAGCTAAGTCCTATCAGAACAGCTGAGACACACAGAATGACATGCTCTTATATTTTCTGCACAGCACCAGGCTACCAAGAGATGCCCTGGCCCCCACTGGATTAGAATACTTCCCATTTTTCCCTGTGTAGAATATTGGGCTTTACTGTTATATGTCCTCAGTTTTATAAAGAGCCAGTATAATACCACTTTATGTAAGGGCTATGAGTCTTCCAGGCCCATATGCTGGAGGCATAGAAATGTTTGACACTTGGCACAGTGGGGCCAGGTCGGGAGGGGGGCAGTATTGCTCCGAAATATCAGAATAATGCTGCCAAATCAAATTTAACAAATATTTCTTTGAATATTTTTATGTCACTTGTTACAATTTGCGATTCTGTGTTTATTTTGGTATTTGTTAGCAATCTGTCAGTCCTGTTAGCAAAATGGAAACTCCAATTGGAACAGAAAACACAACTATTCCATTCTACCTTGTGTACCTAGTGCTTAGTAATTAGTAGCACTCAGTAAATACTGATTAAATAGATGAATCTCTATTTCTAAGGTAAGTTATTCTAAGAAAGGACCAACTCATTCATGCATGTTTCACTTTCTAAATGATGTTCTCAGGGAAATCTGTCTTGCACTTCATTCAGAGAAGTGAATGTTCAGAAGTAGAAATCAAAAAGAAAATGGAAATTAAAAAATAATAGGTACAGAAAAAAAGCTAATACATTGAATTAATCTCCAATTGTCTTGCCTTTTTATTTTATTTTTTTTTATCTTTAGGGGGGAAGGGAAGAAGAGAGGGAGAGAAACATCAATGTACGGTTGCCTTTTGTGTGTCCCCTGCTGGGAACTGGCCTGCAGGGAACCCGCCTGCAACCCAGGCATGTGCCCTGACTGGGAATCGAACTGCGATTGTCTGATTCGCAGGCCCGTGCTCAATCCACTGAGCTACACCAGCCAGGGCCTTATTTTACTTTTTAATTTCAACTTCTCCTCCAATCTGTTTTATATTATGCCTGAAATTTTTCTGCTAATCAGCTACTTCCCTGGCTTTCTCTTTTTCCAGAGAAAGAGATACTGGGATGAGCCCAGGTCAGCGCACACTGCTGGCTTTCCCAGGCAGGAGCTGTGATTTACTGGTCCTTTTGTCCCCAGCACTTAACACGGTGCCTGGTACATGTTATTCAGCAATAAAATAAGTGAAGTCCTGATACACGATATAACATGAATGAACCTTGAAAACTGTGCTGAATGAAAGAAGCCAGTCACAAAAAACACACATATTTTATGATTTCTCATATATGAGTGTCCAGAATAGACATCCATAGAGGCAGACAGCAGATTAGTGGTTGCCAAGGGATGGGAGGGTTGGGGAGAAATGGGAGCAGTGACTTCTAATGGATACGGAGTTTGGGAGAGGATGATGAAGGTGTTCAGATGTTGCTTGTGGTCATGGTTGCAAAACTATGATTAGGCTAAAAACTCCATAATTGTAATATGTAAATTAGATCTCAGGAAGACTGCTATTTTTAAAAATAACCTATGAATTTGCCTTTTATAGAGGCCAACTAAGTGCTAGAGATTTGTTGCAAGCTTGTTTTCTGATAGAATTTACACATATGAAGTATTTTTTCAATAGTATAGACTCATAAGTACCAATTTCTTAAGAAAATTATGCTGATCATACAAAATGATAAACATTTTCCCAGTGTTTTTTGGAGGGGGGTTGCTTCTTTTAGGAATAATTATTTCTTCTCCAGTAATCTAGGGCTTTTTCATGATTAGTATCATCTCAAATGAGACTATTGTACAATTGTTATTCAAACTCAGAAATATTATTAATGCAAAATTCTGTTTCCAATGGTAAAATCAGTATGGATTGTGTGTTTCAGTCAGCAGAACCCAGTGAGGTGAAGCCTGCAGCAGCAGCACCAGGACCAGCATCGGTGGTTGCTGATCTGCCCAGTAGTGAAAAAGAGGTGGACCCTAACAGCATCCCTACTGCCATCAAGTACCAAGATGACAATTCTCTGGCTCATCCAAATGTAAGATCTTTAAACCTTAAGACTGTCCGTTGAAGTCTGGTTGACTGAAATTAATTCATACTGTTGTCCTTTTGCCTTGGTGATAAGAAGACCATTGAAGGAAATGGATTCATATGTTCTGATTTGCTAAACACAGGCAGATGAGCCAGAGGGCAGGGAGGAAAGGAGAAAGGTGGGAAGAAGGGGAAGGGACTAGTCAGAAAGCATGTATGAATGACCCGTGGACAACGGGGCGAGGCCTGACTGTGGGGTCGTGTGTGGGCTGGGTGGAGGGGGACAAAGGGGGAAAATTGTAATACAATAAACAATAATAAACAAATAGGCAACTGACCCTCGGCCCTTGGAGCTGTCGCATGTTTTTGAATATGGTATGTCCAACACATGTTGCCTGACCTTTAGAAGTGGTTTTTCTATGGTTAAGAAAAAGTATCAAAAAGAAGAGTTTTGTTCTGTGTTTAGTGTGCCGCTGACAGACCTAATTCAGGCTCAGCTCTCGTGGACTCACTGACTACGAGCAAGCACATCACGGACATATTCCGTGACCTCTGTAAAACGGTCTCATCTCACTCTGTCCCACAGAAAGACTGTAGGAGATACACTTCACAAAATAAGGTGTAAAGTTGGAAACTGGTGATGCTGATGTTAGTCCTTTTACTCCACAATTGTCTGGTCATTAGTAATTCCAAACAGATGATCTTCGATTAAGAAATCATCAGAAGTTAAAACGGTACCCAAATCTCATACTGAAAGATTATTTTATAAAGGCAATTGGTGTCATTTAAGGTCAAATCCAAGTTATTGGCAGACAATAACATTTTTTCTTTCTTTTTTTTTATTTCAGCTATTTATTGAGAAAGCTGATGCTGAGGAAAAGTGGTTCAAGAGATTAATTGCTCTTCGACAAGAAAGGCTAATGGGCAGTCCTGTGGCCTAAATAATATGTGTGGTTGAATCAACAGCAACATTGAAAATTTAGGCTTTTAAATCCCAATTTAACTTTTTATTCATAAAAAAATTGACCCAATTATATAAAAAGGTAATCTTACTTCATTCTTTTCTCAAGTGGGCTTAAATATTTGTTTATTTGAACTTAAACATTGTGAATATTAAAATTAGTATAAGATTGAGGAATGCATGAAATTGTCCTACTGTTAATAAAACTAATGCAAAAAATATCAGTCTTAATAAATAGCACACGGTAGTGTTTCTGTGTGTAAGTTTTAAAATATCAAATTGTCATTTAAAGACATAGTTTTGATTGACCATGCATATGTAAGAATCAAACTCTATGCTATAAATCAAGATTTCCTCTTCCATGTATTATGAAACCATTTTGAATCTTTTATTTTACCTTACTGGAAAATTTTAGGCCCAATAAAAAGCACTCTTAACAATCTAAGCAGAACAAGCATGTTACTATTAAAAGAATAATTTCTTTAATGAAAAACTTTGTAGAAAATGAACTACATTGATGATTTATGGCTTAGAGATCAGGTTTCACTAAGCACTTCTTTTCAGCATGTTAGCAGCGCTCAGTCCATCCTTGTAGAAATCACATGTCCCTGCTAGACCTGATGAGCTGGCCAAACAGCCGTCATAGGGAAGGCCCGTCTGAGGAAGCAGGTAAGAGTTCTCGCCTCAGTCCTGCTTCATATTCCACTGTCCCCGGGAGAGGAAGCCAGCTACCTGTAATTCTGAGGAGACCGTCTCTCACTGTAGAATGAATGCCTTTCTCTAGTAGCTGAAGGGAAATCAACAGCGAGTCCATCCTGAACATGCCAGAGATAAGGACTTTCAGGCCTTGTGTTATAAAACTAGTTTTCACCAGCTGGCCATAAATATTTCCCTTTCCTATTTTGTTCTGTTGCCTGGTCTCACTCTGAGTTAGTCTCTGTGAAGACTGTACCTCAGAACACAAGATAAACATGAAGAATTTTGGGACAGGATGACCAATCTGTGGGATAGCTAATGGTATCTTTTTTTATGTTTCTGAAACTTCAAAGGCTAATTCCTGTTAAAAATGAAAACTATAAAGAGCTTACACTTCATTTTAAAAGGTACGGAGAGGAGACTCGTGGTAAAGTACACGTTTTCAGACACAGTTTTTCACATTTTAAGCAGACGCCAGTGCCCTTTTTGCCTTGGCTGTAAGTGCCCAGTATGAACTCAGGTCTGCATGGGTTTTAATTCAGATAGATACATTTTTAGTGACTTTAAAAAAAGATTACTGTTTCTGAAATATTTTGTATTTCATTCTTTGCCTAACTCGTGAACTGTAAAAGCACTGCCCCCCTTCTGGAAAGTACATTCTAGTGGCAAGAATATGGGTTGTCACTGGGGCCCCGAGAGAGTCTCCGAGGACCTGGACGGGGCACTTTTTCTCAGAGCGACCGACGTTCCTCGCCTGCGAATACTGGGAACACTGTGATGTACTTTAATTACGAGTAATGCCAGTGTTCTTCCGTGGTGAGTTGCCTGAAATACAGAAGCTTGTACTGCCATGGATCTGTATTTTAAAGCTAAGTTTTTCATGAAGACAGAGAATCGGTTTTCTTTTTAATAACTAAACTCTAGTCCCTGCAGGAACTCTATGACTATTCCCCCTTCTTCCTGATCCCTTTCTAATGTGATTCATTTGAAGGCATTATTAGCTGCATTTACCTACATTCCTGTTGAAGACGACAGTATTACCACACAAGCCAAATCAAATTTAATGAGGAAGACTTCGTAGAACACTATCAAACATATCACCAAACTCGGGCTAAGTGATGAGTGTCCTAACATACCTCTAGGATCCTAACATAATGAGCCTGTAAAGCAGAGCAGTACCTTTCATGTCACTTGAATGGTGACAGTGATTTGGACTTAAATGAGACCTCCAAGTGTTTTCTGAAATGTTGACTTTGTGTACAATGACAAGTACTAATTATACAAGTTGGATTTTCATTACTGAAGTGAGTCCATTCTCAGGAAAAATGAGTAAGAACACCTTTTTTTTCTGGCTCTCCTTACTTACGGGGAGGGAGGTACATAAGTACTAAGGACAGAACACTTTGAGTCATTAACCTGCTTCCCTTCAGCATCCCCACGTGTGAAATGAGGTTACTGATTGTGGACTTGCCTACTTTGACTTTTCAGTAAAATAACCTAAAAGAAAGCCCTAGATAGAAAAGGTTTACTATTTATGCCAGTGTGACATTTGACTTGGTAGCCATCTTAACGTGATATGAAGCGAACAGTTGCACAGAGAACTTGAAAACGCTGCACCCCAGCTTCTGTACAGTGCGCTTCCTCTGCATGTGTTTGAATGGGGGCCAGTGGGCCTCCATCCCGCTGTCCCCAGCCGCCCCTGATCCCCCTGCCTGCCAAGACCACAGGAAGCCCTGTTGGCTCTGCAGTTACGCCCTAACTGACTCAAGGAGTCTCGGGTCTTCTTTGGTCAGATTTACCCACTTTTTAAACTTTTTCTTAGATACCTAGCTTTTTAAATATCTAGGCACAATGAGGGCAGCTGGGTATACAGAGGTTTCATTGTGAAGCCAAGAGAGGAAATATTCAGTGGCAGGGGAGAGGGAATGATTGCAAAGAGGACAGAAATTACTCGTTACAAAATTAAGGTGGGCTTCATGGAGAAACCTCAGCTGAACGAAGACCGGAAGGAGAAGAAGGCACTAGGAAGTACAGAACTCACGTCCAGCCACTGTCTGTCTGATGGCTGCACTAAGCGGCTGGGGACTGTTGCAGCTCTAACCCAGGGAAGAGTCCCTTTCATAAAAGACCCAAGTGGCCCTTCCCTCTCAATCTTATGAAAAATCCAGAAAAAAATTTAGGTACCTGGTCACTCTCTGGCATTCTCTGAGCCGTTCTTCCTTTCGGTGGAGAATTGGCGGAATAAGCTAGCCCTTCATTTGGCCACTAGCTTCGGCAGGCTTCGGCTCACTACTGCCTGTCAGCCAAGGTGACACGAGCCAAGCTGTGCAATGGTAGTTGAACGGAGATTTCCGGTACCTCTGGGAAAGAGTCATATCTGCCAGGAAGGCCTTGCACAGCCACATGGACCACTGCATGTCCCCTGGCACTCTCTGTTTCTCTACTGTGTGTTATACAAATCATCAGTTTAAAGCTGAAGGACACAGTTCACTTACCTATGATGAGATCTCTCCGTAAATGTCCTTTGGTTGGGCATCAATGAAAAGTGTTAAGTGAGCAAATGAGATCATAACAAAAGCTAAGAATGAAACAAGACGTGGAAGATTTTTGGTCCCCAAACCATGGATGAATTGATCTAGAATTCTTATACCTGTGTTACTCCTTTGTCCCCCCATTTCCCAACCCCCATGCTCCTGGTGAGTATTACAAATGAGATTTTAAACCAGCTCTTCGCTATTACTCAGTTGAATCAGTGCTTGAATTGTTTAGGAAGTGTCTAAATGCCATCCTTTAAATGTAAGCCTTACTCTTTGGAACTCCCTTGTGGAATAAATGGAAAAACAAATCGTCTTGATAAGAAACGTCTTAGTGTGTGCAGCAAGACAGGAATGAAAACGGAGGTGAGAAAGAACACTGAATTCTCAGGTCATGTTCATCTTTCATCACAGGAATGGACGTCGGTCAGTATATTCAGCTCTTTTTGGTGGGTTTTTTCCTAAATCAAAGAAAATGTTCTGTCATGATATTTTACAGTTATTTTTGCTATTCTTTTTTAAATATTTTATTTATTTATCTTTAGAGGGGAAGGAGAGAGGGAGAGAAACATCAGTGTGTGGTTGCCTCTTGTGGGTCCGCTGCTGGTAACTGGTCTGCAACCCAGGCATGTGCCCTGACTGGGAATCGAACTGTGATCCTTTGTTCGCAGGCTCATGCTCAATCCACTGAGCTACATCAGCCAGGGCTTGCTATTCTTGTGTCCCCAGAATCAAGCCCATGCCTGACACAAGGTTTTCAATAAATATTTTTCAATGAAAGAAGAGTGGATTTCTTCATCTCAAGTGGGCAGTCTGTTTAACAATCTGGTTATTTAAGTTACTGAAGTTATTTGGAGCCAGCGCAAAAATAAATGGGTGTCTGGGTGTGTAGACCCACGACTGAAAGCAGAGTCTTGCAGAGATATTCCTACACCTATATCCAAAACAGCATTATCCATAGTAGCTAAACCATGGAAGCAACCCAGATGTCCACGGCTGGTTGAATGGATAAGTAAAATATGGTACATACCTACAGTGAAATATTATTCGGCCTTGTGGAGGAAGGAAATTATTCTACAATGTGGATGAACCTTCAGGACATTATGCCAAGTGAAATAATCCAGTCACTACTTTCTTAGAATAAGTAGTCAAAATCATAGAGACAGAAAGTGTAATGAAGGAAGGTTGCCAGGGGCTGGGGGAGGAGAAAGGGGGGAGTGGCTGTTCAGTGGGGACAGAGTTTCAGTTTTGCAGGAGGAAAGTTGTGGGCGGCTGGGCGGCTGCGGGTGGCGGCTGCACGACTATGAATATGTAATACACTGAGTTGCACATTTAAAAATGGTCAGTATAGAAAATGTCACGTGTATTTTACCACGGTAAATATATGTAAAATTTCATACACATACATTAAATAGATAAATAGGTGAGTTTTATAACCCAGTTTGTTTGGTTTCTCTGATTTATATGTCCAAATGTCTCTGAGCAGACAAAGACCGTTGGATGTCAAGGAGAAGCACAGAGGACGTCATGCCTGCTCTTGCATTAGGGACTGACCACAGGGGCTCGACTTGGTCAGTGCTGTACTTGCCGGGCTGTCTTCTGGCCTGATTTTCTTACTGTACAAATAACACTTCAACTGACGTGGATGTGGTCATTCAGGGCCCACCCACTGTCTCCTGTCGGAGGTGGCTCTCCCTGGCAAGCCACAGGTCAATTTTCAAGAAATAAAGGCCACCAGTATTGTAAGACAACACTCAACTCAACAATGTACCACTTTATTTTTAGGTCTGAAAAGGAGTGGCAAAACGATCCTGCTGCAGTTCTCAGAGTGATGAACTGAACTGACCCTCCCTTACTAGCATCTCCTAACATGACACTCGGGCTTCAACCCCACGGTGTAAAAACCTAGTGTACGGCACACAGTCTTCGTGATCATTTAAAATGAACAGCGAAAATCCCGCATCCCAGATAAAACCCAAAACTACAGTCTCTACCTGTGTATGTATCACAGAAGTTGTCATAAACTTAAAACCAAATTGAAAACATATATTTGAGAAATCAGTGTTTTCCAATTACCAGCACCACAGATTGAATTGACTATATTGATGACTGGGTAAATTTTTTAAAAAACAAATTCTGTAACTGCATTACTTTTATAGCCCCATCGGAGCTGTTCTCTTTCCTCTTCCTACTCTGGTAAGTCTAATTGATCTGCAGAAAACAACTCATGATAACTTATTTTAATAGTTTGGGAAAAATACTTTTTTTTTGAAATGCTGTGTATCTGAATCAACTGCAGTCTCATTATTAAGTAAAAATAGGAAGTCATCCAAAGTTATAATCTTGGATAAATACACTTATCTCTATGTTGAAACGTTTCATTAAAAGATGTGTGCACCTACCACAGAGCATCATTAGCAGCCCAAGCCGTGTCGCTTAATGGTTGTTCCACCAGAAACACTTGAACCTTCAAGGAGAAAACCATTTTCACATTAACACATGTTCTCTAATGACCACACCTTTCGAAGATCATGTGTGCTGTTTTCAGCAAAGGTGCTCAGAGACTTTTATTTCACTTGCTTTATAATTAATAAGGTGACAAGTGATTGGTAAGTAGATTAGCATCACCACGGCCTAGAAAATACCAGAGACCCAGTTTCTATTTGGAGCCCTTAACATCCCACCAAATATTTTATCTTGCTATGAAAACGGCAATGCAATTCCCAAGAGACATTGTTCAACTAATTTCTAAATTCCTTTGAAAGGCATTTACAGAGACCTTAGAAAGCTGTGAGTTATAAAAATATTGTGCTTTTTCTTTTATTTTTTGAAAAACCCATGTTAGAATTCCCACAATCTATGACAAAAAAAATCTGTTCTTTTACTAACAAAGGCAGCATGGATTTGAGATGTATTGTTTACTTTTGGAGTTAAAAAAAATCAATATAATTTAAACATCAGTGAGGGTTTGAATATTGGATTCCAGTTCAAATGGGCAGTTTTTTAATTAAATATGAATGGCCACCATTTACTAATTCTCTTTCTGCTAGCCACTTCGACATTCTTTTCAATATGCATGTACACATTTTCTAGAAAATTACATAAACATGGCAGCAAATGGTCACATGCAGTTTATTAAATGCGCTCATTTGCTCACCTTGTGTGAACACAGGCGACCTGATGGGAGAATAAAAGTGATATCAAGAATTACACTTTCTATGTGTTGGTTTCATAATTTTGTGATTCGCATTTTACTTTTTCATCAGAAAATACTAAAAACACAGAAGGAAAGTAAATTGACTCGCATTCAACCAATCTGTGAATGCGAAGAAATGCCTGCTCCTGGTGTCCTGCTGCTCTGTGCTGCGCCAGGTAACCACGGTCCTCCCAGCCTCTCCCTGTGCTTAAACACACACAGCTCTAGAGATACCGACATGGGCACTCTGTTCAGACCATGAAAACACTGGTGTGCCTCTAACTTTTTCCCTGGACATAAGCCTTGGATACTCTCCGAATGGTGCTTACTCTTTGTAACAGCCGCATGGAGTCCTGAGACTGGAACTGCTGAGGTGTAGGGCACGTGCCTTTCACACATAAACTACTGTAGGAACAGCAACAATAAGTAAACTTCCAAATAGATGATTTCATGCAAAGTAAGATTGTATCAGTCTCTTCAAATCATTTAAAAGCTAAAAGGTCGTTTTTTAAATTGGTGTATATTGTATGTAGCTAGTTCTCTCCATCACCCTTCATAATTGTTCTCCACTTTCTTTTCCCTCTGTAGTGTGCCAGGAGGCTGACTTTTACAGAGGCCATTGCCCAGTTCTCCTTGCCCTCTGCTTCTGGTTAGGTCCAGCTGATGGGACGCTCGACCGCAAAGCAAAGGGGAGAGAACTGGACATCTGTAACCATGCTGGACCAGGTCTCTGGTGTGGCTGCTTTCCTGAGGCCGCAACTCCTGGGGGCTGGCCCCTCCCTCAGGATGCAGCTCTCACCGCGTTACAGTAGCAGCTCCCTCCTCCTGCCTCTTCCCACCTGGAGGCTGGAACAGTTTCCTGTAACTGCTAGTCCCTGACTGCCTCCCTTAACCCTGTCCACATCCCTGTGAGCAGGGCTTTCATTAACCTTTTGAGGTTATGTCATCATCTACTGCCAGGACGGAAGCTGATGAAATTACCTTTGGTGTATCAATTAGGGTTAATTAAGTATACCAGTTTGGTTTTTCATAAATAATGGCAATAGCAGCAACAGTGAACAGTGCCTTACATTTCTTAAATGTTTATTTTTCAAGAGAAAGTCATTTAAAGGCAGCTGTGGTGGGTTCGTGTGTCAGGGACACAAGCTCCAGTTCCACCTTCCTCAGTAGGCGGCCCCCCACCGCGCGGTGGGGGACGGCTGCTGAAGCTGTGGCCCTCGTGCCCACATTCCAGGCTGGGTGAAGGATTGGCTCCCTTTTGAGAAGACTCGGGCATCAAAACTAAAGGATACTTGGAAGTCTGTACCTCACAGACTAGAACTTGGTCGAATGACTATTCCCCTGTTGCAAGAGAGAGTGGGAAATGCAGTATTTCAGCTTGTCATGGCAGAAAACATCCTGTTCATCGCAAATCAGAAGATGATATTTTCTTTAAAGTCAAACCCTGAAGAAACCCAGCTATATAGCATATCTACCCATTCAAATTTTCATTAATTTTGAAAACCATTTTGTGGAATACTGCTGAGTGGCATCGGCCCTTTCTCGGCCCTCCAGAGGCTGCTAGGCAACCGCCCTTTCCACGAGCTTGTATGAAGCAGTAGCCACAGTAGCTGTATGCACGAACGTTCCAGGTGGCGTGAGTGGCATTTAGACCCCGAGAGTGCCTCATCACCATTGCTCCTCAGCTCTATTCCAGGCCCATACTAATCAGTTAAGGCTGTTCTCTGAACCTGAATATATCCCGTCTAGAGAGGTCCGGCGTGAGTGTTTCAGCTCGTCTCTATGTCATCATGCTGTATCTTGGGGGAAGGCTCCAGGGGAAAGGAGGCACCAAGTCATCAATTTAACTCTGGTGCCTCATCACCTGCTCTTCCATTTAAATAGTTTCCACGTCTTTATTCAACTTTTTATCCTTTAAAGGTTAAGAAAAAACACCTTTCATTGATCTTGTATTGTAAGCACATGGACAATGCTCGATTCAATTATAATTCTACATTTGTCAACCAACCTTGATCAATGATTTCTGTCTCCACCAGCAGGGTCTTCCTGTCAACAAGTATTTTAATTTACTGAAGATTGATTTAGCCAAGTGCATGATCTCATGCGAGTGAAGCAATAAATTTGAATTTTTTCAGCCTGCTCTTGTTCCTGAAAAGCCAAGAGAAACCGTCTAAGGTAAATGATAGGCATATTCTGGCTCTCTCGGTCTTCGAAAGGAAAAGTTGAAAGGAGTCTGCCAATTCAACAAGGTAGCAGATCAGCTAGGGATGAGGGCAAGGGCCCCACCTGGTAGTAGAGGTACATTTGCCTGGGCATGCTTGTAATTCTGGGAACCGAGTGAGCTGGCAGGCAGGGTCCCACAAGGGACATAAATAAGAACTCCCACTCCAACATCTGAGCCACAAGAAACAATGTGTAGTTGCGTGTTTGTTACCCACTGTGATTTGCATGTCTACCAATTCTTTAATACTCCCATGGAGAGATAGGGTCGCTGTGC